TTCTGAGGATTTTGTCAAATGCTTTTAAGCCTGTTATGGTGGATTACATTGATTGATATTAAATATTAAGTGAGCCTTACATCCGTGAAATAAACCCTACTTAGTCATGGTGTATAATTTTTTTTTTTTAATATATTGCTGAATTCTCTTTTAAAAATTTTGGAAATCATGATTACCAGGTTAACTTTATTTGTCTCAGTAACCTTTTGAGGAGCCCTTTACCTGGTTATTAAGACAAAAATTGAATGATGACTGGAAAAGGAGAGAAGTTACCAAATCTGAGAAAGACTAAAGTTATAGGAGCAATTGTGTGTTCATTCTTTGGAGTAAAAGAGGTCAAGGAACTGTGAGTCTAGAGTACAGATTGTCCGTTCTCTGTGTTTTAAGATTGTCTAGAATGATGATAAAATTTGGAATGAAGAGATCCTCCAGTGACTTGAAGGTTAATAGATGAAAGGGAAGGGAAAGGATTGAGAAATAGAATGAACCTCAGAGTATAGATTTTTGCAAGAGTAGTGATGAGTGATGATCTAGAAGTAGTAGGAGAAAACTAGAACTGATTATGGAGAGAGAAGGGAAAAGAGATACCATATATCAAGATAGTAAGAACCAAATCTCTGAAGTCAAACTGCTCGAGTAAATCCTAGCTGTGCTGATAATTGTGTGGCCCATGAGCAGTTTACTTCTCTAGGCCTCGGTTTCTTTATCTGTAAATGATGAGAATGGTAGAATCAATCTCATAGAGATGTGAGGATGAAGTTACAAATAAGGCATTTAGAATAGTACATGGCTAATAGTAGGTTCTTCATAAGTATTAGATATTATTTTTAACAAAGTTAGCAAATCAATAATAGTCTACTCTTTTGCACTTAGTACTTTATTTGATTGATTTTATCTTCATTAACGCTATTAACACAAAACTAGTTTGTTGAATTTGGCAATCGAATTATTTTCATATACTTTGTGGATTTTTAAATACAGTCATGCTCCACACAGTGACATTTCAGTCAAAAAGACTGCATATGCAGTGGTAGTCCCATAAGATTATATGCAGCTGAATTTCCTGTAAGAAATGGCAGGATATGTGGTTCAGGGGAAAATTTTTTTTTTCTCTGATGGGAGCAATATCTGTGGGGCTTGGCAATAGATTCCCTCTCATTCACAGCACTTCAGTTTTGAATGCACCGATTACATCCCCGTCAGTCAGCTACTGACCTGTTTCAGCACAGAGGAGCCTGTCCCCCCAGTGCTGCATATTCAGAGGGTGCTACAGCCCCCACCCCCAGACACAGTTTGATGGTCTTCAGAGTGCATTGTTGTAATTTCAGTGTACACTGTGGTTTATTCCTATTGAAGACCTAAGATCCTGTACAAGGACACAGATCCACAGGAGCTGCCTTAAAAAGTATTAAGTGCCACTGCCATTTTAGTAGAAGCTTTCTGTGGTAGTATGAGACTAGCTTGTTTCTGTACTTTGGAATTATCAGGTTGTAATGATGTAAAGCGTAGCTGTTTTATTTCTTCCATCAGTTCAGTGCCAGAGAGAGCCCTTTGTGCCAGATAGGGTCAGTGGAACCAAAAACAAAATTCCAAAGTCAAAATATTTAGTTCTCAGTTCTACACCGTCTCCATGTTAAACACCCCCTTTTTTTTATGAATACGACAAAGTTCCTTAATCTGACCCCTGCTTCAACATGCAGTAGCCAAAACCACATTGCCGTTGACAGTCCCTGATGTTCCTTTATCTCTCCATCTTGATTTCTTATTCCTACTTATCCTCCAAAGCACCTTTTACTCTCTCCTGACAATCACTATTATTGTGATCTATGCCATACCCTGCCAGTTTCTCCTAGATGTATCCCATCAGTCCGGCCCACACCTGTTCATAGAGCAGCATTGACAGTTTCGATATTTGGTTTCTGACCCTGAGAGATGGAAGTAGGGGGAGGGCTTGTGGTACAGTGTTTATAAAGTCTTCAGTCCTAGGCCTTCACATTCACTCACAACTCACTCACTGACTCACCCAGAACAACTTCCATTCCTACAAGCTCTGTTTATGGTAAGTGCCCTGTACAGGTGTACCATTTTTATCTTTTATACCATAGCTTTATGGAACCTTTTCTATGTTTAGATATTTTTTTATATAAAAATACTTACCATTGTATTACAGTTGTCTGCAGTATTCAATACAGTAATATGCTGTACAGGTTTGTAGCCTAGGAACAATAGGCTATACTATATAGCCAGTTGTGTAGTAGGTTTATGTAAGTCACTCTGATATTGGCACAATGATGAAATCGCCTAAGGATGCATTTCTGTTACAGGAGGCATGACTGTATTTTATTTTTATGTCCTTTAATGTTCTAAGAGGCCCTGATGAAGACACTCAACCAAACCATTGTTTTGAACAAGGAGCTATTAACCGAAGTCTAGTTAACCAGTCCCTCTTTTGTGACCACTTTACCAAGACACTTGTAGGCATATGTGTTGTCTATCTCCATTCTAAGATCTGTGCATTATATTTGTAGCCCCTCTCTGACCCAGTACCTTCCAGGGGCACTTCGAAACACATTTATTAACAAAATAAATGCATACTTTATAATCAGTATATTTCACTAGAACTGTTGGGTTTATCTGGAAATTTATATCAACTTTATGCTTAGATTTGGAAATAGTCTGTAGTTATTGCGAAACTACTGTAATACTAGAAAAAGTACTTGGTGTTTACTATGTACCAGGTACTGTTCTAATCATTATGTATATATATATAAACTTCTTTAATCCTCTTCACAAGTAGGTCTTATTACTATTGCCATTTTACAGATGAGAAAACTGAGGCATAGAGTAACTTACCTAATGTCAGATAGCTAATAAGTGGTAGAGGCAGCATTTAAAAAGCCACATAGTCTGTCTCTTAATGCCTCTACTGTCTTTGTAATTTTTGAAATTCTTAATCATAGGATTATATATTTATGAAGTTTTTAAAGCTCATCTTTGTTCCCTAATTCATGCAGTAAATTAGATTTCCTGGTTCACTACTTTGTAATGAAACTTTAACTTATTTACAGAATGTATTTATTTTTAAAGTGACAGTTTATGACAGTATATAACTTTCACATGTACATTATAATCTGATATCTGTATATGCTATAGTGTGCTCACCACCAAAAGCCTAGTTTTTATCTGTTACCATATATTTGATCCCCTTTAGCCATTTTGCCCTCCCAGACTCCCTTCCCCTCTGGTAACCACCAATCTGTTGTCCATATGTATGAATTTGTTTTTGTTTCAGTTTGCTTAGAATTTCCTTTGGAAAGAAGTATTGAGAAAAAATATGCAAGTATTTATTTGAGTGCCTGCTGTATACGATGCACTGTGCCAAATGGAAATAGATGTCTGGGAGTTTGTTTCCCTACTTTCTGCTCTAAAGCTGTCCCTTTACCAAAAAACAACAAGTCTTGGCGAGGATGTGGAGAAAAGGGAAGGAACCTCATACATTGTTGGTGTGATTGCAGATTGGTACAGCCGCTATGGAAAACAGTATGAAGGTTTCTCAAAAAATTAAAAATGGATATACCTTTTGACACAGCAATTGCACTTCTGGGTATTTATCCAAAGAAAACCAAAACAATAATTTGTAAAGATCTATGCACTCCATTATTCGTGGCAGCACAATTTACAATAGCTAAGATATGGAAGCAACCTAAGTGCCCATCAACAAATGCTTGGATAAAGAAATTATGGTTCATATATATAATAGAATATTACTCAACCGTTAAAAAAAAAGAAATCCTACCATTTACAATGACATGGATGGACCTAGAGGTTATTATGCTGAGTGAAATAAGTCAGAGAAAAATAAATACCATTTGATTTCACTTATATGCAGAATCTAAGGGACAAAAATAACAAATTGATCAAAAACAGATTGACAAATATAGTGGACAATTTGGTGACAGACAGGGGGGGGGGGTTGGGGGACTGGGAGAATGGGGTGAAGGGTTAAAGAAATACGAACTAGTAGCTGCTAGGTGGATGTCAGGGAATAGTGCCAAGAAACAGATTTGCAAAGGACGAGGAAGCTGCCACGGAATTGGAACCTGCGTAAGCAATGAGTATCTTGTGTACGTTCAGGGCCGTGGGTAAGGAAAATTAAATTTTAAAAAGCTGAAAAGTTAGCTAACATTTAAAATAAAGCTGTCCCTTTACCAAACTTAGCTACCTATAAATTCCTCCTTAAAATGTTTGTTTTGTTTTTGTTTTTATGCCTACAGCACCTGGTCTTCCTAGGTTGTCTCCCATCCAAGTATTAACCAGGCCCGACCCTGCTAAGTTTCCGAGATCAGACAGGATCAGGCTTGTTCAGGGTGGCATGGCCGTAGACCTTAAAATGGTTTTTCAGGGGGTTTCTTTTTCTTTCCAGTGTGTGATGCGTAAAAGCAAATATTTTACAGATCAAAGGTGCATTTGATGTCGTTATTCAGATTCGTGAATTCTAAAGTGTAGTAAGCTGAAATTTGGTTTAGTTTTCTAAAAAAGGAAGGAACTTCAGGGTGTAAATAATTACTGCTTATAGGCATCAGAACTATATCTGCCTATCCCATCTCAACAAGTTGGTTGTAATTCTTAAATTTAGAATAGACAATATTGACAACTTTGAGCTATTTAGATTAAAGACGTTTCATTTATTATGCTGACATTAAAACTGCTCTGACTTTAATCTTAAGTTTCTCTGAGGAAGAAATTTAAGCCAACAAATAAAAGAAATATGAAAATTTTATATGTAAATAAGTTAAATTTATTTCAGAGTCCAGAATTTTTTCAGATGCTTCCAAAAGTCTGGGTATTCTGTTTAATAAATGACTGGAAAATTAATCTGTCTGTAAAATTTAGAAAAATTAAGTACAAATTTTAAATGTGCTTTTAATAATTCCAGTAAATGTGCTTTTAATAATTCCAGAAATTGAAGTTTTTTTGTTTTGTTTTGTTTTTTGCTGCAGCTCAGATCGTCTGATAGAAGAGACAATAAGGTAGGAAAAATATTTTGTTTTACTTTATTGTGTTTCTTGTTTGCACATAAATGAACAGATAAGGTTAACCCTATAACAGAGTTAAAGTTAATTTATTCTCCTTAAAGATGAGAATTTCATTAGATGGTGATATATTTTTATTATGTCTTTCCCTTACAAGAGACATTTGAAGCCCAAAACATGTGTTTCCAGAATTAGGCTGTTTTACATAAGTTGCTTTTTTTGATTAATTCATACTCAGTATTTTCAGCCTCAGTCTTTTTATTCTCACTTTTTAATAGAAAACAACCTCAAGCATGTGCTTGATAAATGTCTTATTTATACCATTTGTGTAGACTTGGTTTCTGTTAGAGCAGCTGTAGAAAATCTGTAATATTTAGTATTATCTGTAATAACATTGAAGTAATTTCTTAAGTTAAGGAGATTTATTTGCTGGTTTGAATTGCTTCTCTAGGTTTAGTGAATTTTTAAATACTTATTTTATGACAGTAAGAAAGCACATTAACTAGGTATGGTCTCTGTGCTTTAGAATTCAGCAACGTCTAAAGCATTGTTTTTCAGGAAAGGTAGAATGAAACAACAAATGTTGGTATTCTTACCATAGGTCTTGGTACTGTGCTCAAGTGCTTTACATACTTAAAAAAAAATAATTAAGGTAAGTAATATGCCAATGGTCACATGACTAATAGTATTAAAGATTCAAGTCCTCAAATCTGAGTCTCTCTAACTATAGAACTAGAGCTCTGTCTAAACCACTATTATATTTATCTTCTTGTAGAAAAGAGTACAAGCTTTAGAGTGTGATTTGTTTTGAAACATGGCTATACCTTTGTTAGATCTCTGTTCTTAGATAAATTTCTTGGGACCTTCATTTTCTTATGTGTTTAAAAACATGGGATTGATGATAAAACTTACCCTAAAATATTGTTGTGAAGGTTAAACATACTAGGAGTAAAATGTCTACTACGATGCCTGGCTGGTACTAAGTAATCTGTAAATGGTAGCTCTATTATCAACACATTTTTTTATTTACTTTTTGTTTTGATATCGTTTAGGATTTCAAAAAAGTTCTAATAGTACAAAGAATTCCTATATACCCTTTACATAGATTTCCCAAATGTTACTATTTTGCCATATTTGCTTTTTCAGTTTATTTCTAAATTATTTGACAGTAAGTTGCAGACATGATTCCTCATCACCCCTAAATATTTCAGTGTTTATATCCTAAATATTTATATTGATGTGAATTCATGCACTCTTATTTTATTTAATGGGTTATAATGTTTCTATTATTTAATAATAATCTTAATAAATTATAATCTTTTATAATATACAGTTATCATACCTTGGAATTTTATTTAAATGGTATGCACTGGGTCTTCCATCTGAAGAAAGTTTTTGCATAATTGCCTAATTGTCAACTAAAATATCTTGCAATGTTTTCCCTTTCATCAGCACATAAAGTCAGATCACATTTTGCCGGAGATTTTAAAAGTTTCCCTATAATCCTTTTCCTGTTTTTCTTCCTCTTATTTATTCCTCTTTCTGCCTCATCTTCTAGAGTCAGGCTGCCTTAATTAAGCTTTTCAATTCAAAGTTGTCTTATTTTAAGGCCTCGTGTACAACTATAAAAATTTGGGAGTACCTCGTAGGATAAGAATATTTGAGAACCATTGAATCACTGTTACTATTATTTTGTTAGTTAAAAAGCAAAAAACATGTAATTAGAAGGTCTTTTATTTCACTAGTTCCCTTTATTGTAAAATATTATAATATCACAAGTGACATTTCATTAAATATAAAGCTAGTTGTGATTACTTATGAATAATATAAAATTTATTTGTAGAATAATTACTTTTACATATTCTATATGTAAAAATTTACCTTTTCCTTTTGGTGAAATGTTTTAAAACTATGTACACAACTAATTATAAACTTTGACATCAATTTATTGAAAAGAACCAATATTTTTAATATTTATAAATCCTTAACCTTTAAATGTATAACTAGTATTGTCTTCTGTTGGAAATATATGTGTCTGAGTAGTTCACAGAACAGGTAAGAAAGTTCAAGTTCCAGTAAGCACATCAATGATTTATCATTTTAAAAGCATTATATATTATTTGGAGCTTATGTTTTGCCTCTTAGTATTTGACCCTTGAAATAACAACAACCTAGACTTCACTCAGCTTGACTCTAAATGATGGAATGAGATGGGAAAGTATGTCTAGATATACTTTGTGTGGTACTGGAAATCATGCATATTCAACAAGATAATAACATAATGTATGTTGATAATATCCATTCTCCAAGGGATACAAAGTGCTTTGCGGAAATTATTTTTTAATCTTCTCTGTCTACTTCTGAGTCAGAGTGCATGGGCGATGGTGATAGTCCCAGTTTTAAAAACAGGCATATATGATTCAAAGATTGGCCTCAGATTGCTCAGCCCAGGTTTGAATTTTGTTACTTTATACAAGACCGTAATACCTATTTTAAAATATTGTTTAAATTTGTTTTAAAACAACCACATTTTAAATGTATCATATTCTGTCATAGACATAGACTTACTTAAAAATTATGAATAAGAACTAATGATACAAAGGACATTGTTAGTTTGACTCTTCTTGTGATCATTTTTATTTTTTGGATCTAAAATTCAATGTATGATAAAGTTGACATGACCTGTTTACTTCTGCTCTAATCTTTATTGGTTGTTCTCTAGGCCTATTATACTGTTCTTGTCCTGGGTTTTCCTTTTCATCATTATTTTAATCTCCTTTATTCGATCACCTGTTTCTTGGATTTAGTGTCTTCCACTTTCTTAGTTTATTCTTTCACTCTGCTGGACCATGTTCTTTAGTGGCCTCCTGAGAAAGAACAGGAGGTTAATTTTTTGGACTTCCCACACCTAAAAAAGTCTATTCTACCCATGTTCTTGATTCATTGTTTAGCTAAGGTACAGAATTCTAGATAATTTCCAGACATAAAAAAAATTGAGGGAATTCTCCACTACGAGGCCTGCGTAACAGGAAATACTGAAAGGGGTCAGCTCACCTTAAACAAAATGACTGAAAAATACATAACTATGAGTAAGGCAACTAGCAAGCAGATAGAAGCAGAGGAGTGCAACCCTTATTAAGAACAAGGCATTATAAACCTGAACAATAACAAGAGATTTGCTATTGCAAGATAGTAATGAACGTTCAGCATACATAGAAACAAATTGAGACAACAATAACAGAAAAGGGGAAGATTCAAAGATCCAGATTTGCAAAGGGGAATGGAGATAAGGCGCACGCGGAAGAAAATAGACTACTATATATATAAAACCATCCTCTACATATTCATAATGGTAACCATACGCCAAAGATTCAGAACTGAAGTATATAACATAAAATAAGAAGGACCAGATGGAAAACCCACAACCCGACCAAACAAACAAACAAACAAAAACAGACACACAAGGACAAGGAAGCAATGGAAACACCGAGCTACCAGAAAACAAAAGATAAAATGGCTTTAAGAAGACCTCATAGTTCAATAATCACCCTAAATGTAAATGGACTGAACTCACCAATAAAAAGGCACATAATTGCAAATTGGATCAAAAAACAAAACCCAACCATATGCTGCCTCCAGGAGACACATCTCAGTTCCAAAGACAAATATAGACTCAAAGTGAAAGAGTGGAAAATGCTGTTTCAAGCAAATGACATTCAGAGAAAAGCAGGAGTAGCGGTACTAATATCGGATGAAATAGATTTCAAAATAAAAAAGGTAAAGAAAGATACTGAGGTATACTTCATAATGATAAAAGGAATCATGCACCAAGAACACATAACACTTATTAATATCTGTGCTCCCAATCAAGGAGCCCCAAAATATGTAAAGCAATTACTAACAGAACTAACGAGAGAAACAGACCAAAACACAGTAGGGGGCCTAAATACCCCACTGGACAGATCATCCAAACAGAAAAGCAATAAGGAAATAACATCCTTAAATGACACATTAGACCAACTGGACATAATTGACATTTACAGAGCCTTCCATCTCAAAACAGCTGCTTATACATTCTTCTCTAGTGCACATGGAACATTCTCAAGAATCAGCCACATACTGGGACACAGAGATAGCCTCAACAAATATAAGAGGGTTGAAATCATACCAACCATAATCTCTAATCATAATGCTTTGAAACTAGAGATCAACCACAAAAAGAAAGCAGGAAGAACCATGAATACATGGAGATTAAACAACATACTGCTAAAGAATAACTGGAACAGGGAAGAAATAAAAAGAGAGATCGAGAGATACATAGAAAAGAATTATAATGATAGTACAACATATCAAAATTTTGGGGACACAACAGATCGGTAATAAGAGGAAAGTTCATATCATTACAGACCTATCTTCAAAAACAAGAATGACTCCAAAATAAAAACCTAAGGTTACATTTTAAAGAACTAGAAAAGGAAGACCAAATGAAGCCTAAAGTCAGAAGATGTTTCCATAATCAAAATTAGAGCAGAAATAAAGGAAGTTGAAAAAAAATAGAAAAAATAAATGCAACAAAGAACTGGTTCTTTGAGAAGGTTAATAAAATTGACAGACTCCTGGCTAGATTCACTAAAGGAAAAAGAATGGACACAAATAAAATCAGGGATGAAAAAGGGGAAATTATGACTGACATTGCAGAAATACAAAGGACCATATAAAAATACTATGAAAAAGTATATAACACACAATATATTATAATAACCTAGAAGAAAGAGACAAGTACTTACAAAAATACAACCTTCTTAGACAGAATCAAGAAGAACTAAAAAGTTTAAATAGATCAATCAGCAGTGTGGAAACTGAAACAATTATCAAAAACACA